ATATTTACGTTTCACAATAAATGCTATTTTTCTTGCAAGTAATTAAAAAATGTAAAAAATTATAAAAAAATGAATAAGATAAAAATTTATTAAAGATATAATTTATTTAAGATAAAAAATTTAATTTTTCATCAAAAGAATAATTAATCCATGATTTCTTTGAGATTTTTTTATTCTCATGAAGAATACTATATAATAACAAAAAAATTTGATGTTGATTTTAAACTCATTTCACACTTATATTTATAGATTTTTATTGATTTTGGTGCAGAATTACGCTATAATATATTTTATTTTTTTTTATACTTAATAGGAAACAAGGATTTATTGAGTATAAATTATAAGTTTTTTTTTTATAAGTTATCATTGAATCAATTCCGTCAGAGTTATATATGAATATAAATTCATATATCGAAATGTTAATATAGCATAGATTTTAATAAGAAAACTAAACAAATAGCTATATATTATATTAAATGATGCTTGGAAAATTTAAATCTAAATTTTTTTGGTTCATAGCTTTTTAATGAACGGCGACTTGCTTTATCAACATTATTCAAATAATTTTGATATTATATTTAAAAAACCATTAAAATGGAAGGTAATTTTTCGTAAATATTTATTTCAAAAATAAATTTCATTGAATATCAAAAAAAATTTATACTCAAAAAAGTTAAACTTAATGAAATTTAAGATTAATCTATTATTTGCAAAAAAAGATTTTTTTTTTTTTAATGAATTAGATTTGTTAATAATGTCTTGGAAGTAGGTTTTTTGGAAGAAAAAATCGTTAAAAACTTCTTTCAAAAAGATGAATTTTCAAAAAAAAGAAATGCTGAAATTTATGAAAAAAATCTAAATAGAGCATATTTTTTTTTTTTAAATTCATCGAATTTGAAAATGAAATAGATTTAATAATAATGATAATAATGATAATGATAATTAATTAATAATAATAAATGTTGAAATGATTGTATTGAAAATATGTCCATATATTCTATGATTCTAATAACTTTAATATATCAGAAAAAAATAATAAATGTAAACAAATGATAGATAATACTTCATAAATTTTCAAATAAATTCCATGTTGTTTTTACAAATAATTGTTTGTAAAAACCATAATATAAATATATAATATAATATTAAATTTACATATAGTTTATGATAAATACAAATATCATAATTGTTTCTAACTAATTGTTTCTAACTAATTAATTGAGTTTGATGACAATTTTTTATCTTCTATATAATCAGTCAATTATTTTTATCAGAAATTCTTTTTTTATCAAATAAATCTTAAAATGATTATAATAAATTAGTTGTATAAGTTGGCACTGTAATATATAATATATCTTATTATATTTTTTAAGATTAAAAAAGAATTTATTTTTATTATTATAAAAATATGTATAATAAAATGTGTATATGTGAAAAAAATTAAATAATTTATTATATTTTTGATATTAATAAACATGATATTAATATGAAAACATATGAAAACATATATATACAAATATGAAATAAAAATATTACCGAATATTTTATTATTTATGCTAATTTTAGCTTAATTGCACTTTTATATTTTAATTTTTTAATAGAAAAATTTTAGTATTTGGCTTTAATATTGCATTATTAATAACTAAAGAAGACTTATTATTGCAAAGAATAATGAGATCTTCAATATTGAGGACAACGGAAGCAAGAGAAAGGTAACAATAAAAATGCTATGACTGGGCAGAGATTGTACAGACGATACTTTAGTAGTTAGTAGTAATTTTAAAAAATGATTTATTATTAGATATTATCATAAAAAGAAATTATTTAAAATAACTTCTTATATTCCTCAATAAAAGAAAAAATTTTTATAATACAAGAAAATATGAAATTATAATTAATTTAAACACAACGATTGCACTTTTCAGTCAAACTGTATTGCTATATAAATTATACATTTAATTTAAATACTTGTATAACAAAATTTTTTTTATGTTATTTTCATTGTCAATTTTTGTTATCAGAAAAATATAGTAAAGCTATTTTAATTGAATATCAACAATATTTAATTGAATATTTTATTTTGAATTTTATAAATATAAATATTATTTTATAAATAATATTATATTTTATAAATCTGATTATTTACTATCTATTATTATAAATTATTTTATTATATATTAATTATATTTACTAAAAATTTTTCTAGTTTCTTTTTTATTATTCCATATAATATCATATCTAATTGAAATAATTTTACTTCAGTATTTAAATGTGTATGACAACAATAATCTTATTTATTATTAGCATTAATATTCATCATGAGTTCTTTCATTTCTTATTTTGAATTACGGCCTTCACTATTTTAAATTGACATGCATAACACGTTGTATTAATTATTCGTATGTTTTAATCAATAGCATTTTATCGTAGAAATAGCGCGTACTAAATTCTTTTGTAACATGTACAAAGTAAAATTTTTATTCCTAATGTAATATTTATTATTATTATTAATTAGAATTTGATTATAATAGAAAATTAAATTAAATTATATATAAAATCTAAAACATTTGTAGTGAAATATATATATACTATAAAGATTGTTAATATATTTAACATTATCAATAATTTATTAACATTATATATAATTTTATATAATTTTATATAATTTATTAACATGTATATATATGTATATTATACATATTATATATATAGATTGTTACATTATATTATATTCATAAAATATATTATATTTTGATTCTAAAAGTCGAAATAAACATAAAATTGATTGTCATTTTAAGCTCAAAAAATTCATATTATTTTAATTATGAATTTAATTAAATTATGAATAATGTAAATTTGCTAAACAAAGTTAGACAAAGAAAAAATAATAGAGTTCTATAAGACAGTTCTATAAGACAGTTCTCTATATTATTGATTCGCTTTTTTCTTTATTTAATGCATATTTAAACACATTTGTTTATAACTTTTATTAAATTTTATATAATATTTTTTGTTTATTTTTAAACGAATTTTTATAAATATAAGTTTTTAAATTATAATTACTTTCAATAAAGCTTTATTTTATTTCTCGATGTTATAGACAAACTTTTATACGTTTTTAATGCATATTTATAATATAGAAAAAAAATTCTAATATTTTTATATTTTAAACATATTAAACAAAAATTAAAGTAATATTTCAATATTAAAAATATTTTAATATACTAATATTCATTATATAATATATAAGAAATATTTAAAATATAATAATAATACATAAAATTCTTTACTTATGAAAACTAAGAGATATATTTATCATAAATAATTTTTATCATAAATAAATATTGGAATTAAATATTATAATTAAAAAAAAATAATTGTATAATATAATAATTGTATAATTGTTTAATATGATTATCAAAATTTTAAGAAAAAAATAACATTAATTGTATGTTTATATCTTTTATATGTCTCTGTTTTCTATATTAAATTAAATTTAATATATTTTTTAACAATTTTTTAATATAAATTGTTTAATATTAAAGTAATGACTTGAATTGATTAATGCATTAAGAATTGTGATTTAAAAAAAAATACATTAGAATTTTTATATTTAATTTTTACATTATTATATTTATATAAAAAATAAACTAAAATTGAAAAGTAGATTTTCATAATATCATTCAATCCTTTTCTATATATAATATCTATATATAATTTCGAAATATAATCTTTTATTTCATTTTTATATTAATTATATACGATAAATATTAAATATAGGTAATAAATTCTGACAATTGAATTCATTCAATATGCTTTATAAGAAAATTCTGTCATTTAATATAATTCTACTTAGTTCTGTTTTAGATTCTATTGAAACTTATCAATGAAAAAAGTTTATTTAAATTGTATTAAATTGATTATCATAGGAAAATTATAAATTTCTTATAGTTTCATAGTTTTAATGTAATTCCTTAATATACAGAATTAATAAGAATATACATATAAAAATATGAATATAATGAACAAATAAAATTAAAAATAATATCAAATTATAATTTATTTTTTGGACATGTTATATTATGTTATACAAGATATTAAGAAATATGTAAAACATGTCAGAAAATTAATTCTCGATTCTATATCAAAATAAATACAAAAATTGACATGTAAAAATTTTTCTGTTAAAACTTTTTTTAAAGTTATATTAAAGTATTTTTAAGTTTTTAAGTTTATTATATATTATATTAAATATATTATATTATTATATATTATATTAAAATTTAATTTTACATTAAAAATAAAATGAAAATAATAAAGATAAAATAATATGAAGATAAAACGAACCAATTAATCAACTATGCATCACAATATCATGATCATCATTTGTTCTAATTAAAAAGTTTAAAGAAGATATATTTATATATACAATTGTATTAAGATATATACATTATTATAAAAACAAATATATATAATTATTTTTTTTTATTTCAAGCATTCAAAATGATATTAGTATATCCTGCTTAAAATTTCGTTGAAAAATTTGGTTAAGTAAGAAATATAATAACAACAAGCGATATAATAACATAATATTGTGATATCGATTAAGATTTAATTG